TAATAATATTATATTCCATTTCCTATTTATTGCCAATAGATCCTCATAATGTTACAAACTGGACCTTTAAACCTTCAAACTGTGTCTGTAATTGGCATTTTGTACTAACCTAACTGCATTCTAAATTTCCCAGCAGGGACAATTAACATGAATGATTGACTGAATGATGGAGTGGTTGGATGTTTGATCAATTCTTTAACCAATTTACTGACAAACTGAGTGACTTGAGTGTTTTGTTGCTTTACTTAAAAAACAATATTTTTGCAGTGGTAATCACTCAGATCATACTTGAACATGTTGCTTGCTGGTTATAATTGTATGTCTTTCAGGGGCGGTCAGCTGGCCTCGACTCATAGTAAAGCAAACCTTGGTGCTGGTAGCAACACAGTGACATTCATTTAAAAGCCAGAGGGTATTTTTACTGATTAACATGCAAATGTAGACAATCATCAAGTGCAGTTTTCAGCGAGAAGAGCCTCCTACACCTGTCACCTCTGGTTACACTGCCCTACCTCAAGCTCACAGACTGTGGGTGCAGCCTTAATGTCACTCTCTGAAAGAGATACAGGCCCGTGTCTTCAGTGCAGACGACAGCTGGCTTTGTGAGCAGCAGAGTCAAGCTGTGCAGTATTGATAAAACTAAGCGCCTCTTTTGCCCCTCTGTCATGTAATGTGTTTTTGTTCTCCTGAGACTAGATATGGTTGGACGGAGCACCTTTCACCATGCCACCAACTGTCTGTAATCCAATTACTCTTCTGTGGGGCAAACTCCCGCTATTGGCAGCTGCTTCATCAAGAGAAGAGAATGAAAATAAATGCTGCTGCTATGGATAAATTGTGTTTTGATTTCAGGAGGATGCCTTCATGAGCTCATCCTGACACCTGTGCCCCCTTGACTAATTTTTGACAACATAAGTCGAATCTATAAAAACTGTAGCTGCAGCCCATCCACCTGACTTTACAGTCTTAATCTTTAACTGTCTGTAATTACTCATAGTGCTTGGCAGGTTTCTACTGCTTTAACTTAACTGAGCAGCTGACACAATATAACCCCCTAAATTCAAGCAAAGCCAAACTCCTAAACATTAATCTTTTTACCAAGAAGAATTTCCTGACATTGCAGCTCACAATTTATCCTAGTTAGGGTTATTGGAGGGGAAGAAGTGCACACTGCCAGCGCCCAGATAACCCTCTAGCAGGGATCTTTTTTTGGGGGGGTTGACAGTTAATTGTAATGCTTTGCAACTCTGGCTTTACTGACTGTGTACTTGCCAAGGTAGGAATAATGTGTGAATTGGGAGATTTGTTATTTCCTCAGGTGGCTGTTCTTTGCTCTGGTGCTGATTCTTCCTTTGTTAAGTTTGGCCTGAGACCAAATTGAATATGCTACTGGACCCCTGCTGCCACGTTCAGCTACTATCATTGAAATAGGCTCCTGTTCGCTCGGTGGAGCTTTCACCTCCTTTGCATCTGCTGGAAGGGAGCTCTCACACTTTCTGACAGGGATGAAGAGGAAGAACGGGAGGAGAGGTGGTGGCACACAGTAGTTAAAGTTTTATAAGCTTAGACACACTTTTATATTTGATGGCAGGTTACACTTCAGCAAACCCACTCTCTCAAACTGTCACATGTTACACACAATCCAGCTTGACTGTCTTTGCATTAGCATAGGCGTCCGTTAAAATATTTCTGCTGGTGTAACCTTACTCTGCGTACCTCCTCTCTTAAGTCCCACTTTGAGTTTTACCCCCTCTGGATGTAATCACAAAGGTGTGAGCCTGTAATCCTGCAGTTTCATCTGCTCATTAAGCCCTAACACTGCTATTATTAATTCACTGTGTCAGTTTATGGTAACACTTTCTACTGGGGATCTTTTATTTATGCAGCTCAACATCAGTTCTCTGATGTTGAATTATTCATTTTGGATACAATTAATGTGCGTGTGCTGGTGCAGGGGGTGCAGCACTTTCTGTGTCTGTTGATTTGTTTATCAGCACATCAACTCATCACAGGGTCTTGCTCTGTAACACTGACTTATCTCTTTTCAGTGTCTGTGCCGGCGGGTTCCCATTTTCTTCTTAGCGCCATGGACCAGGAGATAGTTTGCCATCTTCCCATCATTTGTGACAGCTCCCCTGTATGAAGACAAAATGTGAAAGTCACTGTTTCTCTAAGGCTTTGTCTTGTCGTCCTCCCATCCTCATCCTTTGTTTTGAAGTGGCTCTAAGAGCAACAGTGGCGTTAATGTGGTTTTAATTAAATGAGTGTAATTGGACTCAATAAAAAGCTTTCCTTAGGCTTGCTCTTCCAAGCACAATAAGAAGAGGTGGAGAAGAAGAGCTGACACTGTGTGATCACCGACTTCTGTTAATCAAATCTAAGCTTATCCGAAGCTGTGAGATCACATGGTTGCCAGGGGAAGATAGAGGGGGTTGGGTGAGCAGTAGATGTAGTAGATGTTTCTGTGTGACTGCATGATGTGCCGTTTCAAAGCTCTTCTCGTTTCCTCTTCCTTTCTGGTTCTGACATAGTTTGGGAGAACAGAGGTGATAGACAACACGCTAAACCCAGACTTTGTCAGGAAGTACATCCTGGACTACTTCTTTGAGGAGAAGCAGAACCTGCGCTTTGACGTGTGAGTTATTCTGTTTGATCCGGTCCTCTGACGACACGCACTGATGTGCTGCCCTCTTCTAACCCAGTCCTCCAATTCTTTCCACCACAAGCTGAACATCTTCTCCCTCATTCCCTCTCCCTCTACCCCCCACTGTCTCTTCACCCCCTCTCCCTCTTTCCTGTCTCTCATTTTCTATCACCGAGTCACCCTTCTCCTCTCTTCCCTCTCTCGTCACTAGCTGGGCTCTCTTCTGTGGAATTATTCATTGGTGCAGTGTCTCAATAGTCATTCGTTGAAGGGAGATTGGTATATGGGTGATAAATATTTCATATAAAGTTTTATTCTTAATCTCCCTGCTGCTAAGCAAAGCAAATGTCTGATATGTCCCATAAAGCTCACAAAGACCCCAGACCTCCTCTCTTTCAAATACAGCTCCCTTCCTCCTCTTGAAAAGGCCAGATTAGTGAGAGGGTCAGGTAGGTGCGGTTTCATTTTGAGATCACAGAGAACAGAGTCGGGATCATTTTCCTCCTCTCTCCCCCCTCCTCCTCCCTCCTCAAGGAGAACAGATATGCTTCCAAAAATCTGTCCTTTTTTTCCCCCTCCCTTCAAGCATGAAGTCCCCAATGGGCTATTCAGGACGGAGCTGCAGGTCTCTGAGGATTTTTAGACACTTAATGAATTCATTTGGCGTGTTATCATGATACGACTCTGGAACAGCAAAGGAGGGAGTGCATCCCCTCACAATTAGTGTTACTCATTTACATCTCTCTTTATCACAGAGGTGGGAGCCAGGGCATACTAAGGTTTAATTACTTTTACATTAAGTTTGACTGGCAGATGCTCAAAAAGTTTCTCTGCATTGGTAGATTGTTTAAATACGATCCCCCAGGCATAGTGCGGAAATTACATTCATAAACTATAGAATGACTTCCTTAATTAACTGACACATTATTGCTTACCTTATTATTTTTTTCATTGGCCGTCCCTTTTTGCTCCCTCAGTGACCCAGGTGTGTGATTGACAGGCAGTAAATGTCCATGCTGCAGACAGTATTCTTTTATGAGACTCTGTATTCATTTGTAAGTTAAGATGTTTTTCCCATATCTTTGCCCCTGTGATTTGTGGCCTCTGTGATTTCAGGTATGATATTGATTCTAAAAGTCCAGATCTGGCAAAGCATGTAAGTGAAGAACTTTTCTTGTTTTTTTGTGGATGAGGAGTTCGACTTCACATTAGAATTCTAAAATTAGTTTGACTTGTTATTATTGCATGTCCTTAATATTTTGGTATTATGCAAACCAAAGTTTATGGCGTCTAAATGCTCAAATATATTTTTTCATAATGAGTGAATTATGCTTCATCGGCCAAAATATTGTTTATTTTTCTTTACCTTCCACCTGCTTCATTTTGTAAAATGAGGTATTTTATTCATCAGGAGCCTTAATAATCAAAGTTTCATTTGCATCTGGCATACCCTCATTACCTTTTCAAAAAAAAAAAAAAGAGACATGAAGCATTGCACATCATTATCAAAGCTTTTCAGCACATTTCCCTTTGTGCTCTGTGGTGTTGTTTGCAATTTCGATTTTCATCTCCAAGACAGCTCACAGATTTGGAAAACAATATACATTTACTTAAATGGCAGTTTTGCCTGAAAGGGACAGCACTTTATTGTAGAACATATATTCAGGTAAACAACCCATTGAGGTGACTGTATGTTAGTGTCACTATTTATGCTGAAATCTTTGATAAATAAACTCCTACTCATACTATAAAGACACATAAAGAATATATTTGCAGCACTTGGTTTGCATACTACCAAAATCTTCATCATTTGTTATGCTTCTGTCGCTGTGATGCTTTTATTGTTGTGTTTTTGCATCGTGCTGCATGCTCTGGAAACAAGCTGCTCCCTGTGTGAAACTCTTTCTGCTTTCCTTCTCTTGTGCTCTTTCCCTTTCCTTTTCTCCCTCTGAGACTCTGTGACTCTTTACCCTCTGCTGTTGCCATTCTGCCTATCTGCTCTTTCACATATCTACTCTTCTTTCTTGCACTTGGTTGATGACAGTCTGGTATTTGAGTCGTGTGCCTTCTGTTCCATGATATGCTCTGTTGTGTCACTGCTGCTGCCTGGTCTCTCTCTCTTCCTCCTCCTCCTTCTCCACCCTGGAAGCCAACCGACTTTAACGTACGTGTCTGCCTATAGACGTCCTAATTTATAACCGTACAATTCTTATAACGATGCTTAACTCCTCACCGACTCTCCTTGTTACCACCCCGTGATCCACCTGAACGCCCCCATCCTTTGCCCCAAACCTACGTCTCTCTCCATCCCACTTTATGCTCCCCCCCATGGCAGGACTTCCTGGGACAGGTCTACTGTACACTGGGAGAGATTGTGGGCTCACCTGCCAGCCGCCTGGAGAAACCTCTAGGGTGAGTGTTCATTTTACTGTCGTCACTCTCTGATTTTGCACAATTGTGGTACAAGAATAAGAGCCACTCAGAGCTAGGAAGAGATTTTTCGCTTACTTATCCTCTCAAGGAGACAAATAGAACAATTTCAACTATGCAAACAGGAGTTCTCAGATATTATCAGATAATGAAAACTCAGTGCCTCCTCTCACCCATTCAAATGTGACATGTTTCTCCTGCTGGATTTCACACGTTCCAGCAAAGATGAGAGGGTGATGAATATGTCTGCCTTCTAGAGCCATCTGTATTGTACATTACACTGCGAGATTAGACCCATGTGCTTGGATGGGAATGGGTAATTGAACACGACCGGGGGCTTCCTCAACGCAATTACTGTCATTAGGGAGGTGATCTAGCACGGAGAGTGGATTGAAGTCAGCGTGAGACACATGGCGTTATAAACTCTGCTTCAATGTAAATTGGAAAATATAAAGCCCTGAAGCCCCTGGCTCCAACGGACATTCGCGCAGCTCTTTGAGCTATTTAACTGACCAACTACTAAGCTTGTGTTTGTGTCTGAGACTGTGAAGTGCTGTGTGTGTGTGTGTTCGCCTCTATGTGAAGTATAAGGAGTTGCTGGTTTGTGTGAACAACAGAGCTTTGGTGTCGCCCATGAACTCTGCCAGAGACTGGTGGCGGTGGATTACGGCGCTCGGTGCCCTTCAGTGCTGAATAAGAGGATGAGCAGGATCAAGAGACAGTGTTCACCAGTATGCTGTAAACTAGGCTTCACTCCCCACATTAGACAGGCAGGAGGTTCTGGAGCCCTCAGACATGATGGACAAAAGTATTGATTCTGCAGCTTCAGCGGGGCACCTTTATCTCCGCTGAGAATCTGCACTGATGCAACACCCAATTTAGCTGCAGCAGAGGGTGTTGATGATATGGTTGCTGTTACAGAGCACAGTTTGCTGAAGAACTGAAGAAATGAGCGCTTATGAAAACGTTCACTTGTGTCGTCCCAGCAGCTTTCATGTCAAGAGTAGCAATTCAGAAAGTATAGGTTCTTTTGATTCTCTGTTCCTGATGATATTCAGTTAAGGGTACAGTTTTGTTCAGCCCTATTCTTTCTGAATAGCTAAACAGTATCCATGGGTAATAGAGTTCTCCTCCCCTCTTGTGATAGACGATAGCTCAGAAGTTGTTTAATGGCTTTGTGCCCCATTTCCTTGTCATGCGTCCTGACAGTGACAGTGCCTCTTTGGATCGGAGCTTTGAGGAACTGCTCCCGCAGGAACTGAGGAAATCTGTTAGCCATGCTTAAACGAGCCCTTCCAAGGCACACTGCGTCCAATGACCTGCTTAAGAAGCACATCAGCACCCCATTCCCTATTTTTCACACTTCATCTCCCATTTATTCTCCTTCCTTCCATCCACCAGATTATTTTTTTCCTACTTTGACCCCCTTTCTCTTCATAGTGTTTTCTCTTTCTTTTTGTTCCCCCAAATCTCTCCCCCTCTTTCTTGCTCTGCCTTACATCCTCCTGCCTCCATCCAGCACACAGACGGTCACAAATAATGTGTATTACTATACTTGTGAGGACATTTTAATGATTTCTCCTAGTCTTACAGTAACCATAACTGCTACACGCCTCCCCAAACCATTAAATGAACCCATAATTATAAGCTTCACATGAAAGCTAAGTCTCAACCCTTAATTGTTTTTTGACCGGTGAGTCTACACACATCAGTGTCTCAATATACTACATTTTTGCTACAAAAAAGCCTTTATTTGAAAATTGCAGAGGCAGGAAAACATGGGAAGAAAGACTCACAAACAAAGGTTGTTGTTTTTTTTAACAACTGTGCCCAGCTCCAAAGAGTCTTATCAACACAGCCCTTTCTCTGTTTGTGAAGCCAGGGTTAATTTGTAGTTTTCCACAAACAATAGAGGCTTCATTCCTGTGTTTTACAGCGTTTGCTTTCCCAGTCAGGCTCTGAAAAGGTCTACTTTGCCCCTCTTTTTGGAACTATTTTGGCCGGAGGGCTGTGGGAGTGGAAATGGACATGTGTAATGCACTTTCACTCTGAGCAGGACTGAAGTGTCAAACTTTCTTGAACTTACCTTTTCATTTAAAGTAACATATCACAAAGGTATTAACGACTAATATGCCTTTCACAATAAAGTGCAGCAGTGAAAAATCTCACGACACACGTGCCCTAACTCCTGCTCTGACAGGACGTCTCCGCCTTAGAAACCTTCTACTGTAG